AAAGATTTACGTGGTGTAGTACGATATTTGGGTAGCGCAAATGCATCAACCACTCCTAAAACGCCATCTCCGTCGAAAGTTGAAGCAGATCAAGAAGTTATACCCGAAGAAAATCATGAACTGGCTAGTAAGGTGTTTAGGAAATTTTTGGATTACAAATCTAGGACATTTTCAGAGAACGATGAAAAGAGCATGGTTATTAAACGTGAATTTGAACAATTCTTTTGGAATGTTAGAGAAGAAATCCGTTCACATATGAAAAACGTTAAATTATATCCTCCTGGTAAAGTATATTGGATTATTGATAGTAAAAGAGCACCATATTGTAATGCCAGTGAAGAGATTGTCAGTGGTCATGATGAACATGACAAGAAGCGTAAAATAGAAAAGGAACAGAAAAAGGAAAAGGAGGGTGGCGTTGAAGATGATTCTGACGAAGAGATATTTTTTGAGAAAAATGGATTATATAATATGTTGGAAATTAATAATGTTGAAAATATTTTTGACGAAATATGGTTTACTCCGCAAATGATGACTGATCATCTTCCACATGTTTATGGTAAGAATGATTTTTTTGAAATATTAAAAATATATATGATAATAAATAAAAATTGATTGATCTCTTTTCTTTTTTTTTTTAATAGAAAATGTTTTGAAAAAATTATAATGAAAGAAACTTTAATATTTTTATTTATTGTATGATTTAATTTTTGTAATTTATAATTTATTATATTTGTGTATTTATTTTTTTTATGCATCTATCTATATACATTCTCTTCTTTTTAATTCACCATCATCACCTTCGCCTTCATTCATGCAAAAGCATTTATTATATTTTATTTATTATTTAATTTCAGTATCCAAAATTCATTCATATATATATATATATATATATATATATATATATAAAATTTAATTGGTATAATAAATAATATATAAAAATTGTTTTTTTGTTTTACTTTATAATATCATCATCATCCATTTGTTTGTCTTTTTGATAGAAATTTTTTTTTTTTGGGGGGTTGTTCTTTCTTCGTTGTTCGCGAATAAAAAAGATTTCTGATTCAACCTTGCTTATTAATGATGAAAAATCCCTTGTTCAAAAAAGTCCGATTATAAAATATATATAGCTTCAAGTGCAGTAGTTCCTATAGATAAAGAAAAGAGTTCACACAGTTACCTTATTATTTATTTGTTGATATCATTTTTGTAGAGTGCCTTTCTTTTAACATGTTCTTGGGGAGAGATAATTTTCTCAACTCCATATAATATAAAGATTGTAATCAATTGATTAATTACGTGCAATTATAGCAACGATTTTTTAATAAATCTGTTTTGCAAAAAGTCGTGACATTATTGAAATGACAGATATCTTCTTTATGAGCGCAGTAAAAATATCATTTGAAAGGAAACGAGCTAAACATCTATTAACAAAAACACCTTGTTTGTAATCAAAAAATCTGATTTTTTGTCAAGGACTCAGATTCAGTAATGATATTATTCCATTCTGTATTATTGTCTATAGACATATAACTAATACTAGTGACTCTTTATTAGCAGATTGCATAATTCTTACTGCTGTGGGCAACGTATCTAAGCACGCAACATGATTATGATGACGAATATTATTAGGTTTCCACCACCATTGTTGCTGCTACTGCTATTGTTATCATAATAACGACGACGACTATTTCCTTTTGATGATTCATAATCTCTATGAATGTTGGTCAGATTTTTTTGTTTTTACCCGATCTCTGTGACGGATGTAAATATTCATTGAAAACTATGAATAACGACAACCCTACTTTTGATCGTTAGTTATCATTTAAAATGATACAAAAAAAAAATAAAGCGTTTTGATTTTTAAATTTTCACTGATGCTATATTTGGTATTTTTAGAGATGTTCCAATGCGTACGTAATTTTTAAAATCATGCGCATAACATATTAGCTTGTTTGATAATTCTTTAGCATGGTGAAGCAGATTTGGTAACATGGTGGAAAGGGAATTTTTCATTAGTTGCCCCTGAACTGACTAATCTTACTGTACAAACATCTTTACATGCTTAATATTGATTTTTCAATCCCAATAGTAACTTTCCCAATTGTCCAAATTCAGCATTTTCATTCTGAATTTAATCATTATAAAATTAACAACACATTAGATGATAAATTGACGAATAAATATACGTACAATTCAATATTTCTCAAAAACATCATCTACATTCGAGATTCCACGAAAAATTGCATCATTTGGGTGATACCAGGGTTGACAAATGTGCGGGTCCATTGATGGTTTATTGGTGGTCCATTGGGTCCATTAGTGTAATACTTTAACCATATTTAGTATTTTATTAATGGCGATGGATCAGTCCAAAATCCATCTGTTCTCAATGGACCAGTCAATTTGCCAACCATGGGTGATACCACCTTTCTTGATCTTGGTGAAGTTGTTTATCTAGATGAATTTGTTGATGTTGAATATCTTATAGTAGCAGAAGAAAGGAGTGAAGAAGGAGAAGTCATCTCATGAACAGAATCCGAAACTAAAATACATTTTAATAAATGCTTGTCAAGAACTTTAATATTTCATCTGGCTTTGATTAAAAAGTACCTGGGATTTTATAAATATTTAAATCATCAATATATCTTTTCACCACACCCCAAAACGCAACACGTTTTTGTCTTTAATTATACCTCCCCATAAAGTCGAAAGGTCATTTGATGCACGTTGGAATTTTGAATAAAGGTAAAAATTAAAAAAGTTATTAGCTTATCAAGTATAACGAAATACACAGAACCTTAAGTGTATCAAGTATAACAGAAAAAATTCCAAATCTAACATAGACAATCATTCAATTATGCTGATTTACAAGTAAAAAAGAAAATTGAAAATAATAACGAAAAAGCAAAAGAGAAAGGGATTCAAGAAAATCAAAGAAATTCTAATTTAAAAGGAAATCCACAAGCGTGCAAGGGAGCTCACAGAGCATCAAGCGTGCAAGTGCCTCACAGAGGATTTAAAGTCATCTAACAACAATAAAATATTGAATTTTTTTTTTCATCATCGAGTGAAAATAATTTTCCCTATTAGTCGGACGACTGTAGCTCTTCCATTTATGGAGTAACAGCCTCTCAAAGAAACCTATGGCTTTTGACTTCGGATGCTTAATTCTTTTCGGAAATCAGCTCTATTGAGATCGTTTTAGCATGATAAGACAGAGTACATCGAGAGCTTTCAGAAAATATATGGTTTATACGGGTTTATTGGAGAAAGAAGAGATTAAAAGCAAAAAAAGGTTTTATAGGTTATTTATTATAAGAACCTTTCAACAATTTTTTTTCGCATTATTGTTTTCTAACTTTTGTTACAGTATATTAATAATGATTAGACAATATATGAAGGCACAATCTTTTAATTGGAGTTTCTACTCAAAAGGTCACAAAAAAAAATTATTTTAATATATTGATGAATATTCTCAATTTAATAAATTATTAATTATTAATATAGATGATAATAATCTTTAAATTTAGAACTTTTGTTTATTTGTTTTTACTGTGAAGAATTTTTAAGATAGTATGAATTAATGACAAAAATAAGAAAAACAAGATAATCTCAAAATTGAATGAACAGATAACAAAAAGGAAAACTATTAAA